CGCTTTGCATCTAAATCTTGTTGTTCAGAAGATCTTTGGAGGCTGAGGCTTGGTGGCAGACTTGATGGGGACTTCTGAGCGGTTGTGGCAGGGGAAAGCGGTCCAGGAGGTGGAGGTGGCGGGATGATTGAAGGAACGGTTTCTATCGACTTGCCCTTATCATCCAAGGAGAGATTGCTCAGACTCTTCTCTACCATTTTTGACTTTGAGTCTTTATCGCTTCTCTGTTTCAATCGTTCGATGTGAAAAAGAAGAAACTTGCAGTAAATGTATCAACAAAATAACTGTAAGCCTTACATTTTTTAGTTGGAGAACAATGGTTTCTCCTTCCTTTAAACTGTAATCGACGGATGAAGTGTTCTGAAAGTGTTGTTCCATTTCTTCCGCTGTTTTCTTCTTGTTCAAATACCTTAAGCAAAGACAGAGAGAAAGACACATGGATGATTTAGTTGTTTTGAAAGAATTGCTCATTCTCTGAATCGAAAAGAAGACTTGGAAGTGGAATGTTACTTCATATGATCATGAAGTGCTGCTTGGAAATCATATGCTTCAGTTCTTTCCCGGAATCCGATTCCAATAAAAGCATGTCGAACACGACCACCTGCATTGCTTCAATGAAGTATACTCAGAACAAATACTCCAAGTTTACATCTCGGTATATCATCTATATGGGAAGCACTAAGTAAGTACCTATCTCTTCTTCAACACGGAGAACAAAATATCTACAAGACAAACATATGTTTTTTTGTTAGACTAGCTGGCTGCATAATGAGAAGACCAAATTAAGTTCTATGGTTATTTTTTTGTTACCTGCTACTGTCGATTACAGCTTCTACTGGATGAGGTTCACCATCTCGCAGAAAGGCCTGAGCGTAAAGTTCCCCTGTGGTTTTATCTACAAGTTTAATAATGCACTCTTCCCCTTTGCTCACCACTTTCAATGATCCTTCCCATGCCCATTTGTTCACATCCCACTCATCTGCTCTGCAAGGACCAATCATCTAAATAGTATCAGCAATCGTCTACCTCCATATTCCAATGGATTACTCAATGCACTTTTAAGTATTTTTGGTCTAAGAAGCCAAGTTGAGTTGATAAAAAGCATATGTAATTAGAAAAATTACTATCTTGATGCAAATTAAAGCTAAGCGACCATTCCTACTAACGTCAAGAATTGGTTCAATAAGGTTTGTTCCGATCATGGGCTAAGCCAAAGGGTTTAGCAAGAGAAAGGTTTTTGTAAGAATCTCCTAACTTCGAATCAGAATGGTTTATAGGCAAGAAAGAACCTGTAGGAAGCTGCACTTTTCCTTGGAGGTATCTGCATACACAAACAAGAAAGATAAAGATGAGCTCACTTTCCATAATATCCCGCAAAGTAACAGATAGAGGATAACGTATAAACAGTAGAATGAGATCGAAACGATCTACCTCCAAAGTAGTCCATTATATTGTGGGAATTTTCTAATTAACCTTGATGACAGCACTTCACAATGTCAATGAGTTCAAGGCAACTAATTTGGAATCACAATTTTCACAATGATCTCAAGTTTGAATTCAGAGATCACAAATTTGAGTGAACAAGACATGAACTTAGACAAATGCATATTTAAGAGGATTTCCTCAATACCATTGCAAGAAATTTATAATACCAAAACTGAGTTTACTAACTAACTTATGATCAGATCCAAAAACCCTTCTCCTAAAATCATCTGAGTGAACTTACAAAAAAAAAAAAAAGGCACAAAATTGAGCACAAATTCCAAATACCCATCTCATAATAACCTAATCAAAGTTTAGAAATTTACCAAATAAACATAGCATTCAGGTACTTGGAAGAGAGCAATCTCTATAGCTTCTCTCTCCTCGTTATCATCGACCGTCACAGGATCAGTAAAAGACTTCTTATCTTCCTCAACATTCGACGAAGACGAAGCTTGATCCATCTCACAAACAAAACGAATTCTACTTAGAAGAAAAACCCAGATCACTAAAATCGATCAAACACCTCGTAAAATCTTCAGTGATTACAATCACGAAGACGAACAAACCCAGAGGTTTCGCGTTAGGTGCAGTGTACCGTAACTTAGCTCTGAGCTTAAATCTAAACCGTCCATTACGCTGACTTTTTAAAGACTGATATGAAGACTAGACACGTGTGTGTCGTTGGGAAGTCAACATAAAGCAGTTGGTGGGCCTTAAAGAACGGGCTTTGGCCCATTATAATTACATTTGATTTTTGTTTTTTTTGTAATTGATAATTGTCTGTCTCTTCGTGATGTTGAGTAGGTAAAAATGTGTGCTTTATTAATTTCGCTACTCACTGACTCTGTGACCCTAATTTGAGAAGCTCTTTCTCTGTGCGCAGACTTTTTGCTAATACACAACTGAGAGAAACAAAAATGGCGGCTGCAACTTCATCCATCG